TTTACTTCCAGACCAAATGGCCCATCTGAGGTTATATTCCAAAATTAATTCTAATTATGCTTCTGGGAGCACAGTGAGTATCAGCAGAATATCCATTCTGCCTTGCAAGTTAATGATAAATTCCCATCCATTTCTTGACTTTTAAGAACTAAATTTAGCCCTTGAACACTTCCAGGTCACATGAATTTGAGATATGAATTAAATTTTAAATCTGCAATACTTTTTCCTGAGCAACTACGGACAGTGTGACAGGAGTTGAACAAGACTAATGAGAAAAGAGAATAAAGCCAACAGTCCAATTCACTGAGGGCATCTGGGGCAACTGTAGAAAGCTCTCTTCCAATGGACACAGCAGTAAAAGTGATTCCACAAATGTATGTGTATAAATTTATATTCAGTGCTCCCTCACCACAAAAACAAGTAAATCTGTATCTTTTGTTGATATTTATGTCTGTTTTTGTAGGGCTACCAAGAAACCCAGAGCCAGCGCCAAGCAGAACTTGTAAGCATCGTGCTCTGAGACACGTCAGGCTTGTATTTCCCAAAACAAATACTGGTCAAAGCAATGGGAACATTTAGACATTTGCTTTAAAGTGTAGCATCCTTCCACCTGCCAGTGCCGGCCGCAGCAGATCCAATCTAGTTAGCATATTCCTGACAGGCTGATGAGAAAGCTCCTGTCAGACACTGGCCAGCCGGGTGCTGGAGACGAGCGCACAGCCCCAGCTGACTAGTTAGGGAGAGACTGCAGAGGTACAATTACAGAGGCATATGACAAGCTTTCATGCTTGAGTGACTTGAGAACCGATGACATGGCTTTAAACAGCAATCCTTCCTACCTCCGGTCACAAAACAGCAATAAGTCAACTGATGCACTGTTGTAAAATCATGATTTATTCCTTTGCTTTGAATACATGAGAGTGTGGTATGATGTTCTGGTAGACTACCACAGCAGGTGCACTTGGGGCCAAAACATCTAGGGCCTGCCTCCAGCATGCATAAAATCAATGCTGTAGCTCAGCCTTCCTGGGAAAGCCAATCCCAGTACTTTAATAATTTATAGAAAGACTGAATTAAAGAATTATTTGTACTGAAACTCATACAGCTCCATGTAACTAATAAGAATACATGCAGATGCAGTGACGTGTGAGGAAACAGTGCTGTGAAAGAACATACAGCCTGACATTTAGGAAAGGTCTTCCTTTTGCTGCTAAAGTGAAATAACTAACAGCTACCTCTGTGAGTAGATCAATCCCTTTGTTTCATTCATCCTTTCGCTTAATCCAAAACCACATAATTTGTTTCTCTTTCATAGTTTACTGTTCAAAAGACAGAAATGGTAATTTTTGCTACAAACAGATCTTGCAGAGCATAATCCTCAGGCTAGCTGAATCCATCTCGCTCTAATGCTAAGCCTGAAGCAAGCTGTGAGGTTGGTGATAATCACATTATTAAAGTGGTTGGAAAGTCTAGCTAATAAAAGAATGAACAGTTAGGGCAAATAATGACCCAGAAGCTGCAAAAGAATGGAGTGCTGGAAAGTTTCTACTTGTATCTTGGTAGTAATTGGAAGGACTAGCAGACAAATATCTATACCAAAGAAATTTTTAAAGGGGATAAACCCACAGAAAATCAATTTAAAGGGAGATGCAAAGAAAACACAACTGCAGTATTCTAAAGATGTACATAAAACAAAGCCTGCTTGGCTGAAGTAAAATATAAGCTGAAACACCCTAAAGATGTTGGGCTTTTTTCCTGTTTTTAGGGTTTCTTTTAATTCAGAAATTCTACTCAGCAATTTAAAATAGGCAACCTTATTTCCTTCTGTTTTTTCCTCTACAGTAAACCCTTTTAAATATAGCATCACATTTTGTCCCCTTTATTTCCATACTAGGACTGATCCTTTACTTGAATATAATGGCAGTATGAAATTAATAGGGCAGAAATGACAGACAAAGAGTTCCTGAACATAAGTAAGTGCAGTTTTCCATTCCTGGCCCCCGCAAGAAGGGTGAGGAGAAAGTGAGCAAGGCCTTGAATTATGCCTTTTGTTATCAGTCACTGCCCTGAGATAGTGAACCAAAACAGAGCTGATAACTTGAAGGTGACATCACAACCCAGTCTCCATGAACTGACATAAACACTTGATATTCAGTTAACCCTAAAGATAAGACACAACTCCCTTAACAGAAAGTTGTGTTTGACTGCACCTTTTTTGAAAAAATAATCTTTTCTAGTATCAAGCTGTAATTTAGGAATATCAAAACAGGAACTTTGCCACAGAAAGTACCAGTCTGCTGTGTTTTGTATGCAACAGTAAAACAGCACAAAGCTTGCTAAGGGTGATGTCCAAATTCACTCCATTTGCTTACTGTACTAGATCAAGCAATCTCCATGTTAAAGAAGAAACATCTTTTGCCAAAAACATATTCAATCATTCTTGGCAATTCAATTAAATTCTTACAGGCAATACTGGAAAGTGTTTCATTAACTTTTTAAACTATATTGCTCTGTAAAGAAGCAAGCCATGCATCACCCCTGCTCTGCTTATGAAAGAGATGAGCAGGCAGCACTTCTGTGAACTAAAGCTCTTGAGAAGCCAGATATACCTTTGTTCTATCAGAACTCACTAGTGCAAGTGAAAATTAACCAGTCTTGTATCAAAAGTGGATCCAACATGATGTGGCAGTAATTCTGTTCAGCTATGAGTTAAATAATGCTAAATAAAGCTGATGAGATCTCTTATTTTGGATTTGACCTGCAAGCTACTATTTACATTCACAGCTTGGGGACACTCTCCAGGACATCCAAACACCACTACAAATGTCTGGAAAGTTACATAAATTATTTTCAAGTGAAGACACCAACAAGATGGCTTTTAATTCATTAAGAGGTTAGGAATCAACAGCCAAAGGTAAATAAATGGAAGTTTCTCACCACCAGAATATTCTATCTGCTGCTGTGTAATGACTTCCAAAGAGAAATCTGATCATTTAAATAAGGTGGTCTAGATCAGCACAGTCTAACTCTGGTACTTCCTCTTCTCTTGTCACATCACAGCAATAGAGACCAGCTGAGATGTTCAGCCTAACAAAAACAAGTCCTAAGCAGATCCACATGTAGGCTGAGAGTACAATTCTAAATTGTGTCAAGCAGATGGACACGTGCTCACCTGCAGAATGAATCTTCCATGGGCTCAGAGCTGCCATCAGGATTCCTCTCCTCTCTACTGGAGCAGTAAAACAGGGCTGACTGGGGCATCACTGGAGCTGAGGTTTTCTAATGGTGTATCTCTTCCTTTTTTACCCCGTTTTTTTTTTTTTTTTCCCTTTAAATATAGCAAGCTGTGTTTCAGACCAGCAAAGTGAAAAAAAATTCTGATTCCACAGTTTTGCTACATCATGTGAGCTTCTGCCAAGACAGGTTCTTTGAAAGGGCTTTCCCTTCAAAATCCATATGCCCATTCAGGTCTTACTACTATGTTGTGATGCACAATTCCTTCCCTATCCATTTCAGGAAGGGGAGGGGAGCATGGAGAGAAGAAAAAAAAAAAAAACAAACCTGTAATAAAATATGGAGATTTCCTAAAATACAGAGATTTCCTTAAAAAAAGTAACATCTCTGGTGGTTAAAAAGTCTCTCATAGACTAGTAATGGGAAAATTGTCTGAATTAATGTAGTATTGATTTTGCTAGTTTTTAGTTGTTCATGTGGCCTCTGCTTACAAGATCCCATGTTTGCTTCACTCCAGTCCCCAGGAGTGACTTTCCTCCACACCCTGCAGAGCACTGGGCACGTGCTGCCTTTGTGCACTGCCCTAACTGCAGTGCTGGTCACAGATCCAGGGACCCAACACCATGCTGTTTAAAAAAATAATAAGGCACTTAAATAATTGCTACTGCACTGAGAACTGTAAAACCTGTCAGCCTTTTACAGCAATTCTGAACCTTCTCTATCTTCAATTTATTTTTGACTCAAAAAAATGGAAAGCATTTTTAAACATTATTTATAAGTAAAGAATACTCACTCCTTACAGCACCTGCAAGTCTTTGAAAACAGTATTTTTTAGTACTATATCCAACATTGTACCCATGTGTTCATTTATTTGGTAGTGCAATTAGCAGTGCTAGAAATACAGAATTGATTTTCCACCACAGAGAGCATATTAAACAATATATTCTGTGCAGCATTCTTCAAAAAAATTTAGGTAACTGTGCTTAATAGGCTAAAGATTCTGCATAAGAATTATATTCTGTGATTAAAACTTGGTTATAAAGTGAGTGTCTTGTACTGATGAAAAACTGACCTGGGAATATTTTCAAAATACAGGGGATTTTAAAAATCTGTAAGATTCTGTGAAGAGTAAAATAAAATGGCATCTGAATATTTAGGTATACTTTCCAAACAAAATGCAACATTCTTTTATTAGGCAGCCTAAGCAGGCATAAGGAGGGAAAATAAACATTTTAATGTGGGCAGTAGCTCAAAACCTTTAATTAAAAAACTGCTATTTGGAGTTGTACATTATTGACAGTCTGAAGAGCTGCTCCAAATCAGAGATATTACAGTGTGCACTCCCAAACCACTCTAAGAAAGATGAATCTACCTATTACCAGGTTAGGATAGCAGCTATTATTAGGGACCCTTGATTTCTTTCAAGTAGCTCCAATGGAATAAGCCACAAGTGAATAATAAAGATCTTATAATAGCTCTTAAGAATTCTTTTTAGGTTAGAAGGCACAGAAATGAACTCGGGAGAGTTAAAGAACTCTCATCTCCTGATAAGAAAAATAATTAACCTGACTTAATGTATCTGAGTAGGTCTTACATAAATCAGACTTTTGTACTTCAAGAGCCAGACTAAAACCATATATTAGAAGAGTATGTAGATATTGTCTCATAAGTACACATGGAACATATCTAAAACCACAGAGGTCTGCAGGTCATTTTGTGAAATGTTCAATATATCCTACTTAAAAGGAGATGTGTGAAGTACTTACAGTGCTTAGTTTGCTGGAGGTAATAATGATTCGTCTCTCGTGCAACATACTGGCATAAAGTTGCAGCATGTTGTTCACATCCACAGCAACAAAATATTCAGTGAGGTTTCTCTGTTTGAATAAAAAAAGTTAACAATATAGCAACAGTAATAGCTAAGTGGAACATTTGATATATATTACTTGTGAACATTTTTGTCTAATTAGTAGGTGGGGGAAAAAACAACCCCAAACTATTAAAGAAATCCCTTTGCAACAAAATTTGTGCACTTTAAAAATAATTAATTGGGTTTTAAAGAAAACTAAAAGTTAACTGTGGCATAAGTTATTAATGTTTTGCTCATTTCATTTTCATTATGCTTGTGACTTAGATTTTCCCTTTCAAATTTTCAAATTCAAAAAAAATATGAGATTGGGTATTATATCAATATATGCTTTTAAGGTGACCATTACTTCCAGCCCAGGAACAGATCTTCCACCACAGTGATAACTGTTCTGCCACAGCTACAGTAATAAAAGGCTCCTTTGCCAGGGTCTCCCAAACTCAACACATTTTATTCCATTTCAAGTACAGCAAAACAGCTTGTTGAACAACACCAAGCTTTTGCTTGAGCTGTGTGTGCCAGGACATCAAACACCCTGCAGAATTGGTGGAAGGTACTGGGTTCTTCCTGCAGCACCCTTTTCACCCCTGGTAAGAATCTCACTGTGGGGTTTAATCAGAAGCAAAGTACCCAGCACTTTCCATTAATAGTTCAGACATCAGAAAAGTGGGGGGGAAAGCGAAAAAGGGTGGGAGTATTCCAGCTGAATGTAACAATTATTTCAGCAGGGCACAGCACCAGAGACACAAATGTGTCTAGGAAACAGCAAATTTCTGTAAACATTGGAAAACATGTATGAAAATATACTAATACAGCACTTGATATGCAAAATATTGAGTTTCACACATTGATTATCATATCTGCAACCAGAACTGCTATTCATCTCTTCTCAGGGACAACACTGTTACTGAATGTTCCTGTAGAAGTCTATCTATAAGCCCCAGCAGAAGGCCAGACATCAACAGTGGAATTGTACACTAACATTCTATTCTGGATGCGGCCAACACACAGCAGCAAGGTCACCCAGTCCTGAAAAAGCAGCCAGGAAAGATAGGAAGAGCTTCAGAGCGGGGTGACTTCCTTTTTGGATATATTGCAACATTAAAGAAAAAATAAAATTGAAAAGACAAACAAAGATCCAGTGGACAATCCAGTTTCATTCAAATTCATAAACCCATTGTTAAATTCAAGACATGGAGTATTAGAGCTTTTCTTGGTCCACCCTGCATAGAATTTTGGAATAGATAAAAATCAGAGATTTAGGGCTACTGACACTCAGTTTTAGGAAAAAACGTCCGGTCTTTCAAATGTTATTTTTAAGGGGTTGTCAGAGGCTGATGCACAATGAGAATCTCAGTCCAATTTACCCTGGACACCCTCTAACACTGCAGTTGACAATGGTGTGCTGATTCTGTATTGAAAAAGCTGTGTTAAAAAACAGTTCACAATCTTTTACAGACCAATTTATTTTTTGGAGATAGTCACAGTTTATTCTTTGTTATAGTTGAAAAATTACTGGCCCTGAAATAGGTGAACCTTACAACAAAATGAAAAAATTAATTTTATTGCTAATTTACTATAATTAGCTCATCTCTTTTCTAACTCTCTATCAGTACCTTACTATTCTGATTCATACTGAAAGGATGAGGCTTTTATTAGTGGAGTAAAAAGTAATTATAGAAAGGCACCTTAAATTATTTTACCTTTCTCAAACCAGAAAAATAAATCTACACTGGCATCATTGCAAGATCCTTCATCAGCCACATGCCCAGCTAGATGCTTTCCCATATTTTCTTCCATTTAAGCCCACAACACACCTTCTAGCCTCCAAAACTCTACAATATTAGAACACCAAGTTATAAGTTAAGGGATTCCTTAAAAACAGAGGCATCCAAAATATAAGGTGAAACAAATGAAAATATGCATTTAAAAACTAAGCCCTGTCCTGCCCAATGAGCCCTAGCAACAAGTGTCCTCTCCTTTATCCCTCCATCCAGCAACTTTCCCTGGTTTCTTGAGCAGCAACATGGTCGATGTCACCTCCACAGAGTCCATCCCACCAACACAGATGTACCCTCAGGCCTCCCCTCTGCTACCAACACCCTCCTGCTCCTCTCTGCTGGTGTTTCTCACCTCTGGCTCCTTCCCTGGCACATCCCACCCTGCATCCTGCCATGCCGAGGGGGGCCAGGAGCAGCTCCCTGCTGCCCCAACATCATCATCCACCAGAAAGTCACTGTTTTAAAGTGTAAAAACACACACCTCTACAGCCATGCACAACTCCAGATTTAGAGGCTGGAGAAAGAGAAAAGGACCCTTCAAAGCTCTTTTATGAGATGCTATTTAGCCAAACGTCACAGAGAACATGAGCTGAGATTTTCCATTTGTAATTTACCCACAGCACCATCCAGGATTTAGCATCTACAGAATGCAAGTCTTCATAAAGCAAATAAAAAAATAGAATCAAAAAAAAGGCCCAAACCCCCTGTTCTTGGTGCTTGGTTAGCATTCAAGTGTAGGCAGGTACAGCATGTTTTCAAAAAGCCTGAAACAATGCCTTCTTGCACAAAAAATGACTGCATATCTTGATGGGTGAATTTGCAGCTGAGCAATGCAGTGTTTAAAGGGCAAGTATTCAAATAAAACGCAAGATGCAGAAGTAGAATATATTTTATATAAGTAATCCTAGTAAATGCAAAGAAGCCAAGTAACTACAAGTAAAAGGTGGATATAGCAGTGGTCAGAAACGCCCTGTTAATGCTTTAAAATGGGTTAATAAATGCAACAGTAACCACCAACTAAAGGTTGCAATAACAGACATCAATCATTTCTAAAAACAGTCTTAGAAAAAAATCTCCTCTTGATAAAAGCAAAAGTTCAGCCTAGCCCAAAATGAGGTTAAATAAGAAATTGAATACTTACACTTTCAGGGATCGTTGGCAATCCAGTTATATCAGGAGTAATGAAATACGAGTGCTAATGAATGGGAAAAAATAATTGATAATTTATGCACACAGGAAAAAAAAAATCTTTCCATAAAAACCCAGCATTTAGGATTTCCAAACCCATCTGTGTTTAAGCAAATAGCCATTTTTCTAATAACATTCTTACTGCTGCTAGACAAAGAATTAAGCAAATCACGACATGAAATGACAAGCTCTGGTTCTGCACAGCACAAAACCAAGGGAACAAAATGCTGGGCTGTAGTTTTGAAATAACACTGAAATTAAGCCATCTTTAAATGTTGCCATAAGCCTGAGAGAAGCATTGATTAAATTAAGGATTTAATTAAAAATTGCAAGAAAAAATGCTAAAGGATAAAATGTAAATTTAGAATGGAAAAGAAAAACCACTCACATGAGAAAAATATCTAGAATAGAAATATTATTACTCGATATAAATTTTCTCGGTATAAATTCTTTTTCCAAACATCTTTGAACCAAAAAAATGTGGTAACAGAAATGCAAGATCTGAAGCCCGAGATCCTGCAATCATTTATGAAATACATTAACAATTTTATGCATCTTAGTTTGAGGCCATCTAGGATGTAAATATAAAATGGGTTAAACTAAAACCAGATGTAATGTAAATTAACTCTCATTAATCCAATGCTCCTATTAGTTATCAGACATGGATTTAGCACAGTAATTTTAAGGCATTTTTGCATGTTAGTCTAAATTTTTAAAGGCGAAAAAAATGACTGCATGCTATGTAAATAAGATAATTACTGATCTTTAGCTTTTGGGCTTTTTTACAGAATTTTGTTGGTTTTTCAGACTTTTTGTTTTTACAGTATTTTTACAATTATAATTAGCAACACAAAGACATAGCTTTCATAGTTCTCAAGTCAAACTTGAAAAAGATATACCAAAACTAAGACTATAAGACTTAAATGTGTCTTGCATTCAAGAAAAAAAAAATTAATACTATTAAGTCTGTGTAGGAGACTTATTAAACCAGCTTGATACATTTAATAGAAAATTTTCCCCACAAATTAGGTCATTTGGCAATAGTTAAAATTTAAGAAAAGAATTGGCTTAAAAAAGGCATCCTATAAACATCATACCACTTGCACAATAAATATCACAGGTATTGTTTCCCATCAACACAGGAAAAAAAAGTATTTTTTTCTCTGCTTAAGAAGAGGAAAATATTCAGATTAAATTCAGATACAATGTCTGCATTCTTCAGAAGTATATTGAGAACAGAAAACTATTCCCTATACGTAATAAGGTCACAGAATATTTATCAAAAGATTTCTCAGTAATGAAGTTATTAACTGAGAGAAGTAATTATTTCTAATTAACAAAGTAATAATATTTCACTCATTAAACAGAAAAGGAAGCCAGATCTATGAGAAGCAAAAGCTATTACTGCAGTCATTAAGAGTCACAAAGCAGCAAAAATACTGTGGTATGGAGTCCTTGCACATCTTTGTGAACTCCCTGGGAAGAAAAATGACCTTGGAAGAGGTCATTAAACTCTTAAATTAATAGTTGTTGTCCTGTATAAAGTTTTCTTTAAAAAGAAAACTTAAATGGAAAATGCAAGTTTTGCTCATCAAATCAAGGGTTTGATTTTTGTAGCAGTTTTTATCAAAGGATTATGATGCACACACGCATAGCTCTGAAGCTGGATTTGAACAGAAAAGGTATGTTAATATTAGATGGGTCATTTAGGCCAAAGACAGCAGCAGAATTCCCCAAAGGACAGGTATAAATAAGCCTCAAATCAACAGAGATGTCCTATAGCAAGTGATTATTTCTTTATTTATTATAGGTTTTAGATAGTCAGTGCCTTTTAAACTCACCGATACAAGACAAGGCTGATTTTTCAAAACTTGCTCACTTGCAAAAATCATCTCTTGGTTCTTATGCAAGATGAGAAAAAGATTGAATAGTTGACTTTTGAGTTTTCCAACAAGAAAGCCCAAAGCTGCCTCTACTACTTGTAATAATTCATGTTTAAAATATTGGCTGAAAGTAAGTTTTATTCCTCCCCCATTTGAATTCAGACTTAACTAGCCTTCCCAATAGCGAAAACATTTTTTAAAATTTAAAACCAACAAAAAAAAGTGACCTAAATTATTTTTAAGCTCAGGCTCCATAGAAAAAATGACCATGTCATAAATTTCAGCTGCAGAGTATTTGTTGCTGGGACCAACAGAGAGTACAACTTGGTCCCTAAATGGACAAGGGAATTTTGACCAAAGATTGCTTGGAAACACTACATACCCAGATACTGGATGTAATTTATACACAGTTATGCACACACAGTCCTAAGGACCACTGTGGTCTGCCACCCAAACCCTGGTGCAGTATCCATGAGCCTTTACCCTGCAGCACATTTGTGTGAACAAAATACGAACCAGACTGACCCTGGCACAAGGAAAAGCTACCTCAGGATGTCATTTCTACAATTATTTTTTTAATAATTTAATTTCTCTTTTAGTCTGTGACTACTGATGGTTTCAGTCTAGCTTTTTTTACTATATCTGAGGACCGAGAAAGAAAGATCAATACAAAAGACTAGAACTGCAAATGGCAATAAATATTTCCCTGCTCCCTGCAGCATTACAAAAACAGAGATGCCTTTAGATCCAACAAGCATTGGGATTCCAACTGACCCATCCCTCCCTGCTCTGCCCTATCTGAGCCCACAATATTTGCTCTACTGTCCAGCAGCCAAGGATTTGACAGGAGGTTTGCATTTCAATAGCTGTTGTTCAGCAAGAAATATTACAAAACTCTTTGATATAACTGGGAACAAGGCATAATTGAGAAAAAACAATTCCAAAGTCAGACAACATTGAAAGAAAACCAACAAGTAACGACTTTATAGCAAGCAATCTGTCGTTTCAGTGTAGCCAGCTGTATTCACCAAGACAGCCATGTCCACATTCCCCACAACATTTATTTTGAGGTGAGCAAGTTATGGACTAGATTAACTTTGTGAGAAATACAAGGGAAAATATATTTAAAACTTTTTTATTTCCCTCTGAACCACAGGAGTTTTGAAGGACATTTTATAAAGCACTTTAGAGTTGCCAAATTTTAACTGGTTATAATACTACAAGTAATGATAGCAACATATTATTTGAGATACAGAAGTATTTTTGGTAAAGGTGCTAGGAACTGAAACATTACACTGACAACTGAAAGAAAAAAATATCAACAGAAACAATTCCAACTGCAGCCTCAAATCCAGTACATTGTTTTGGTGAAAAACAAAACACAAGACTGGAAGGACTTTCAAATACAGTCAATTAGCACTGTACAAGGTGGGAAAATGTTAGGTCTCTATAGCCTAAAGAAAAAACAAGGAATCCAAAATATAAAAAATTAAAATAAATAAAGGTAGCATTATGTTAAGCAGCAAGGATCAGTAACTTCTGAAACAGAAATGGTAGACTCCGTTTTTCCTGCCCTCATAATAGGGCCAGATGCTCTTCTAGAATCTGTGCTTACTTTGATTGAAGTACAGGGCTTATTTCTAAGATACATGAGCTAAAAGTCACAAGAAACCACACAAATCAGGCCAAGATAAATAATCTAATGATATTTCAGTATGTGTGGAAGTGAACCCTTTACAAAATCACTACTTCCTGTGTCCTGCAGCATGTGATGGTTCAACCAAGACCCAGCTATTTGCATACTGTGGCAAGTGCAGTAACTGTATGGATGCTCTGAACACGCATGGCTCAGAAGCAGCAGAGGTTCTGTGCTGGCTTTATATTTCACACAGGCTCTACAAATGTGTTTAAACATGCACTCACAAGTTAATTCTGGTTAAAACTTCGGGAACCCTAACAATGACATATCCACTTTTTGATGTTTCTGCAGCAGCACCATCCTGCCCCACTATCCCCATCTCAGATCACAAAAAGTTGGAGCACAAAAGCAAAGGAAGCCTGAACATGTTATTTCACTGAGATGTGCCTCAAGCTCCACATAACAGAGTGTACTTCTACTGCTTTTCCTACAGCATTTTTGTATGGTTAAGCAAAACTAGGAAAAGAGGAAGAAAGATGGGAAAGAAGCCAGCTTTCACAGACTTTTGACCAATCCTGAAACTGTACCTACTCAGATATAAGAGGCAATAAAACTGAGTTAGTGTCTCCTGATGCACAGCAGGAGAAACCAAAATTGTCTACATGAAACAGCTGGAAACACAAAAAAGTAGTTCTAGCACTGTCAGATCCCACTGCAGTTTACTTTCTCATCCATAGAGGAAAATTCAAATTTCTTCTTCTCTATGACTATGACTTTTAGAAAACAACATGAGACAGAGACAGACTCTACCCTGCACAGAGGGAAAAAAAAGAGGTTGTCCAAGCCAATTAATGATGGGAAGCAACACAAATTTATTCTTTCAAAGGGTTGAGGTTTATTTTTCTTTTAACTTTACCTACTATTTCCTAGTCAGTGGGAATGAAACAGAAAAAAATACTTACCACACTTAAACTGACGAAAGCATTCGCCTTTGGCACAGGATGGCTATACAACGATTTCAACAAATCATTTGAGTCATTTTCCTATAGGGAATACATTTTAAAGTTAATAAATTATAATGTAAAAACTAAATACTATTGTCTACACATCAAACTACATATGACATAGAGATAAAAATATTTAATAACCAGAAGAATTGTAATACATAGGGAAGTATTTAAATATTAAGTATAAAATTCAGGACAGCTTTGTATCTCATAAAATGATTGTACCTGCAAGTTAAGCCAATCCCTTACATGTTTCCCCACTCACTCCTTAAAGGACTTAGATCATTTGCAACTGAAAACTGGGATACTATGTCAAGCTGTATATCCTGGATGTCATCTTCCTAAAACTTTTAGCCATGATAGAGGTTTCTTTAAAATTTTATTAAATATGCCTCATCAAAAAACATAAAACAGTTAATAAGGTTTACTGAAATGTACTTGCAGCTACCTGGTTTAACTGGTACCTGTCACTTTGGTCTCTAGAAGGGACATCTACTTGGGAAAGAAAAGTGATTGGAGCTTTTCTTGGTTTGAGGTTTTCATTCAGTTTAGGGGTTTTGTTCACAGAGATTAAATTCTTTATGTAAAATAATGTACTTTTTCAAAGTAAAACCAAAAGTAAAAGAGACAAGTCAGGGCCAGCTTTTAAACACATTATTTTGAGTTTACAGGAAGCTTCTGCCTCTCCCTGTTAGAAGAGGTTGCTACTGGACCTCATACCAGTGAGCAAAGCTTTGGGTCTAGCTCTTGGTGAACAGTGCCTGGGCCAGGAGGGAGCAGCATCCTCCCACAGCCTCCTCAGCAACAGGTATGGCTCCAGGCAGTGAACAAACTGCTTCCATGCACTGCTACAACTCTCTGACCTGCTAAAGCAGCTGCCTCAGCACAGAAAACAACAGACCCTGTTACCTAAATCGCCTGAAGTAATAACTGCAATGCCAGCACTGGTGATCAAGACCCCTATCCTCTTCCCTCAAATACAACCTTAATAACAGTTTTTTCTACTATAGTGAAATAGGGACCAAAACCAAGGTCTAATTATAGCATTTGTAAGATTTACATATATTCCACTTCATTGAATCACACAGTTAATACCAAACTTTCCTATTTATCTTTTTACAGACAACATCATCATTCTGTATAGTCCATTTACTATAATGTATAATTATTGCTTATTCTGTACTTCATATATTTTTGAAATGTCAGCTTTTCCAGTCTACAGCATATGGCTAAATATTGATGCTTTTCTTTAAACTGAAATCTAATACACTAATATAAAGTAGAAAGGTATAGCTTTAATGTTGTCAGTAAAGACAGATGCCAGTAGGTCCTTTGCTGTGTAGACTAGGAATACATCTAATTGCTTATGAATATGCAAACTAAACTATCAGGATTCTTCACCAAATGCTGCAAGTAATTTTGTCTTGCTACTTGAGATGTCAGAATTACGAGAGGTAGTTTTTAGTTAATCTGAAAGGTGAAACAGTACATCATATTCTATACAGTTCTGAACAAAAGTGTTTGCAGCTGATAATCAGATAGTTCCAGACAGCTACAGTTTACAATCAGTACGTCATGCAGCTCTCCAGTGATGTGACACCACTCACACTTCACACAGGACCTGTTTATGCTGAGACTGACACATTATAAAGGTATATTTTCAGCAGCTTTTTTAGAATAACGTGGGATTCAAGTGACTGTGGAAGCTCTATGTTCAAATTCTTTGAATTTCAGTAAGAGGAATAAAACTTGCTTCTAAATCCTACTAAAACCTTAAACTTTTAAACTATATAGAATCCCTTTATAGTATTTGAAATGGTGACTAATATTTCAAGGAAAATACACAAAGAACTAGAATATGTAAAATTACCTGTTCTTTAGCCAAATAATCTGCCAGGGTATTTAGGAGCTTGTAGTATACTTCAAACCATGGTAGGTAACTAAAACAGGAGGAAAAAAGTGTTTTAATTAAATATCAATGTATTTTTCCAATGCTTATAAAGTACTACGATGATTGCTCTGACTTGCACATTTTTATAACATCTCTATCTCCAAATAAAAAGCATATCAAACTTTTTCCCAGAAATTTAATGGCACATCACTGATAGACAGTATAGGGTTTTTTTATGCTGGATACTTGCATGAAGTTCCATTAAGCACAGAATAACTCATAATACTTAGACTTCTTAGTATTTTCAAGGCACCAAAAAAAACATTTGAAACATTTTCTAATCTCATTCCCACTACCATTAATTTTTACAGATTTCAGTAGTTATGTGCAATTTTGAAATTCTGTATCTTTCTATATGCAATGGGCTGACAGGCCTGCTAATTCCCTAGAGAATGAAAAACAACTTTGTTTGGGCAGACCAGGTACTCCCTATTTGACAAGTGGTGCAATGCTGTGCAATAGCAGAAATGTCACATTATATGTAAGGATATAGGTCTCCCTATAAAGTAATTTCTATAGATCAAATTAACTTCCAAAAATAAAACCATTCACCAGTACTGCAAGTACAAACACATTAATACATCTATACTTAAGATATTTTTAACACAAATCTGCAGCCTGTGAGCACAATACTCTCACTGAGTTAAAGGGAATTCAAGACAAATAAGACATAACTGAAGAGCACAAAAGAACTCCAGAACAGCGGTATTAGCTCCAATTTGCCTTCTGTTTACAGAGGTTCTCTTTAACAGTGGTTTCATCAGTGACCACACACTACAGAACTTCCCACCATCACTATTTAAGCTATTAAGTCTGATAAACTAAATAATAACAAAAAAATTATGCCTTATTTACTAGTTACACGTCTTCTCATGTCTGTTAGAACTTCATCACAAACATTACTGAATAGATAATATTTATAGTTAATCTTAGTTGTGAGAGAATAGAAAGGAGAGCTGGAAAGGAAATAGTGCCTTAAAGGTTTTCAGAACATTTCATACCCATATATAACACTCCTACAGACTTCATTCTTCAATGCAGTGTAAATCCACAGACATGCATTTCTTAAAGGTTTTAGTGCACGCTGAGGACAGACCTTACATTTCAAATGTATATATTCCAGGAAATATACTAGCTGCAACTGCAAAAACCTGGTATGCAAAACCAAAATGTTTTCCCTGATAGGAAAAGGAAAGCTGTCAGGGGAAACCCTGGCTGGTAGAGAAGCCAAGTGCTGCTTTGTGCAGTGAGTCCAGTGAAGGGTTATGTTTTCTTTGTAACACCTCTGTTCTCAGTATGCAGCTGGCAAGGCTTTAGACATAGATCCTGATTCTTAGGAAAAAGCACAGCAGAAATCTGAACACAGATATAGTTAATGCATTTTCTAGCAATCCTTGCTGTCTTCAGAAATGCTTAACTACTGGCTCCTAAAAGAACCAAAACCAACTTCCCCACCCAAAAAAAACCACCCAAAAAACAAAAAAACACCCCCCCAAAAAAAACCCACAAAAAATCCCACAAAAATCCATCATGAATTTGCTCTTGCCAAACCAAAGAGACAGAGGCAATGATTTAATGATTTCCTTTACATCCAACATACTGATGTCTTTATCACACTTTACCATACATTGTGCTGGCTATTAATCAAAACAACATCAACCTCTTAATGGTCACAGACATTTTTAATGCTTGGTATTGCTGACAGTGGTTAAGGTGTGACATTATTACATTTGTTTTTCAATGTTTTCTTAATATAATCATAAAATTTACTTCAGTGCACCCTTGTAAGGCCACTCACTGCTTACAGGTGTGAACATTCCATGCCTTCATAAAACACCCACCACATCAGCACCTAAAACATCTGATCCTTGAGCATTCTTCCACCTAGGACTCCTGTTCTATTATCTTCTCAAATCATGTTAACCTGGTTTTACACATCACTGAAACACAGCACAGAGAGGCAAACAGAATTAATTGTTCGCTGCAGTGTTCAGAGTTTCTCTAAATGTCAGAGCTGGGGAACAGCTTCACAACCCAGAATTACAGCAGGGACTAGAACACTGTCGTAGCATTTTGTCAAAGTCAAGGTACAAGGTGGGTATAAATCAGAAAGTATTTTTATAATACTACACACACAAATGGGTAAGACGACCTAAAGGCTTTCCAGTTTCTTGCTATCACCACTGTGTTAACAGTATACATGACCCCAGCACATTTTGCTGTAGAATACTCCAAAATCTCATCTGATAATCTATTTTTGATAATGAACATTTATGAGCAGCATTCTATTAAAAATTTATATTTCAATAAAATATTAATCATATTTCTTTTCTATATGCATGATCTCAGCTCCCCTATTACTGAGTAGATAAAAACAAAATTTTTAAGCATTTAAAAAGGTCAAATTAATTATTTGAAATTAATGAACCCTAACAGAAAGCCAAGGGAGATTTTTATTCATACAGCAAGGCATGCTGACCAGAGTACTTGCTTAGAAATTTCTTCCTTTAGCAACATCAGGTTGATGATACACTTCTATGTCTTTGTGCAACAAAATCACTAAGGAAAACATCCTACTTGACCACAGTTTATGAAAGTCAGTTTCCTTTATGAGCTGAAAGAATAGCAAAAGAATTGCTTTAAGCCTTATAACCACAGACACAAATCTGTGTTAAAATCATTTCAATGTGCCTCTTAAACCTGAAAAAGGAAAGGAAACCAAAACCACTACTCCTGGACATTATATGGCATGAAACCAAAGAACCTGCCAGAACCTGTCCTCTGCTTCTTTTCTCCAGAATCTTCAGTTCTTCAATAGTATGGCCTAATTGCAAAAGCTTTTGTCAGTATTTCTAGTCAGAATGTGCTTCAACAAAATATTACAAAAATCTACTGGAAAGCAACAAATTTCCCTTTCTCTTCTTCTTTTATGTAATCCTCATAGCATAATAAAGGATCGTTGTACCTGTTTTTTCATTAACAGTTAAGAGTGCATTTGCATGTGTGCATACACAATGCATCTCTGCATTCAAAGTAAACACAGGTGTGTTTGTTCATGATAAAGACACCATCAGGTGTTTTTTTAGATTCTAGTACAAGCTAGATTTAGATTACAAGATAAACTTAAATTGCAGTACAAGCTCTTGGCAATTTGTTAAATCCTCAAGGCTGTCAAGCAACACTTTTGTCCTCTTTCACCATAGGCTAATTTTGGAAGCATGTTTGCTGATAATCCTATTAATTGATTTGGACCACTCTAGTAAACAGATTTATTTGTAGATAAACACTGCAGGCCGTAGGCTTTATATCTTTATCCAGTATATCATATTGGACAAAGAGTCCAATCACAGAATCCTGTTGGTTGGAAAAGACCTGTAAGACCATTGAATCCAACCAGCAACTCAGCATTGCCAAATCTACCACCAAACCATGTCCCAGCCCCCACATCTACCAGTCTTTTAAATCCCTCCAGGGATGGTGAATCCACCACCTCCCTGGGAAGCCTGCTCCAGTATTCAACAATCCTTTCTGTGATGAAACTTTTCCTAATATCCAATCTAAACCTCCAGTGGTGCAACTTGAGGCCATTTCCTCTTGTCCCATGACTTATTACCTAGGAGGGAGCCCAACACCCCCTTGCTGCCTCCTCTTCTCGGGTTGTTGCAGAGAGCTGTAAGGTCACCCTTGAGCCTCCTTTCCTCCAGGATAAACACCCCTAGCTCTCCCAGCTGTTCCTGATCAGGCCTGTGCTCCAGACCTTTCACCAGCTCTGGACCTTCTCCAGCATCTCAGTGCCCTTCCTGAAGTGAGTGGCCCAGACCAAAGACAGAGTTCAAGGTGCTGCCTCACCATTGCGGAGCACAGGAGGACAATCCCTTCCCTGGTCCTGCTGGCCACGCTATTCCTGGTCCAGGCCAGGATGTCCTTGGCCTTCTTGGCCGCCTGTGCCTTGTTCAGCTGCTCCCAAGCCCTTTTCCACCAGGCAGCTTTCCAGCCACTCTGCCCCAGCCTGGAATGCTGCATGGGGTTGTTGTGATGCATGGACAGTACCCAGCACTTGGCTTTGTTGGTTTGTTTGCATTTGTTTGTATGACAGGTAAAATCCAGAAGCATTTCAGGTCAAAGGATCTCCTTACCTTGTCCTGTTAACAAATCCTGAAAAATTATTTAATCTTTGCTAGCACAGCAGAACTAGTCTATGTACAGAAAATTCACCCAGCACACAAATGTCCATCAAGATCTACTAGCTGAGTAGCTATTTTTTTTCACTACAGTACAGAAATATGTTGTCTGAAACATGTTGTTTTTAAGTGGCTGAATTTGACAGAGGAGACCTGTAATACATTACTCCTCCTAATTCAGAACTGGCACACTAATATGTACACTAATATGTACCTTACACACTAAAGTGTACCTTAATGTGTTAAGGTACATACTAATATGTACCCTAACAACAGATAAAATTAAAATTAAAGTCCATTACCAGAAAAACCTGACCACTATACCTGTATTCATAAAATTATTTATGAGCAGTCAGTACATTTCATAATTAATTGGCTGTCTTATAAAAATGTCTAAAGGTTATCAATTAATCCCCTTCACAGTAGAGAAAGTAAAGGAAAATCAGGACTTTAATGTTTAATTTTAATGTATTTGGAAGTCTAAATTAATTTCAGTCCTTAAACTATGAAACCACTAGTGGTTTCTTATTTATTTTTCTTTAATTGCAGCCACTGTCCTTGCATTCCTCAAGTCACAATCAATAAATGTTTGAAAAACAAACATGTAAAACAAACATAGGAAAACACCCAAAAGCATACAATTTCTCTAAATATTTCTTCCATAATCATGAGAAACAAAAACAGAGAATATTAATATATATATATATATATTTATATTTATTTATATATATATATATATATTCCCTGATGGAGAGTACAGGGGTCTTTATTTAAAAGTATAGCCCCTATTTGTCAGAAAAGCAAGAGACCAAGATCTTTCATGATTAATTAAAAACATACGTAGCATTTTCTCTTAATCCAAATGAGCCACAAGGCAGGAGCTCAGACTTTTATTCAAAGTCACGCACAACCCTTGTTGCCACAAGTACACTTCCACCTCACCAGTGCTTCCACTACAGCTCTGATAAAACTTTTACATTCATGAGTCAAAGGTTAAACAAAGGAGAGGAAATGTTTTCTGTCAAATAGTCAGGTAACCACTAACAGTCCTGAACTATCAGCAGGAATCTAACTTCTAGTAATCAAATAAAACGAAGGAAACTGCCTTTCCGTAGCTAAATGTCTAATGTCTAGGGGCTACTTTTCTGTCTGGAAAATTGACACAAAATGTGTAAAATTGAAACATTCTGCTTCTAAGGGATTTGCCTAAAGGAAGAGTGAAAAAGTTTCAAGAGTGGTCTGAACTGAAGAACTACAAAGCCTTACCACATAAACCTGTCTTCCTTATTAGAGCATTTCATTTGGAAATGTAGGTGACAATTTTACAGTCATAAATTAATGAAATCTAAGACTGAGCATTTTAATGATGCATTTTGTGTTCCTCTGCATACCTAAGGTAAACCTCAGAGTCCATCAAGAGTTTCAAATTATTTGTACTTCGTACTAAAACCATTCAGGTAATTCAAAATCAATTTCATGTAAACCCAGAAAGTATTATGTCCACAGCAAGCAGCAGCGATACTTAAAAACAAAACCCAGAAGAACTATTACTGAAAAGCAGATATTCATGTTTCTACTGTGCCACTTCAAACCTCAACTAGCAAAACTATTACCCAAAAATAGGAAAAGTAAAACTAGGAGAAAAGATCCAGTAGAGGGTATGAGCTCAACAAGGTATTTTACAATATGCCTATTGTGTATCCCTTGTCTTACAGGGCTGCATTAGCACAACACTTTGGGGAGAGGGAGGAGGTGACACGGCAGGATTCACACCGAGAGCTTTATAAAGCAGCCATGCAGCTTAATGAAAAGCACTAAATTAAATAAAACCTGCAAAGGAATCACACAGCATTTCTAGAGAATAATCCACGAGTTATTTTCTCATCTTACTATGGGTTTAACACTGAATTTGACAACTGGGGTCAAGCTCTGCTCAATCATTCTAGACAATATAATATCACAATTAAGTGATAACAAAAAGCCCGAGAAAGCTACCTTGGGAAATTTTTATTTCACTTTATAGAGAGTATTTGAACAAAATTCTGATTTGGAAGAAAATCCTATTTACACAATTCATATACACGTGTATATAAAATGCAAAAAACACTCCATAAAACTTACAGAAGAATTTTGTATGTACATTTTTTGTTTCAAACTATCCAGTTTAAAGCAGGACCACGTGGCTGCAAATTCAGAGATAATTTCCTCTAATTAGTGTTTCAGATGGAGAATTAATTATACACCAAAGTTCCATAAACCACAAGACTTTAATCTTACATGCAGCTTTGAGTTGCTAGTGCAAAACCTAAGGACAACCAGCCTTTACTTCAGCTTTCAGTTAAGAATCCCATTCAGCAGTTGAAATTCTATCTCTTTAGAAGCCCTGGCATAGGTTAACACATGGCTTGGTACTATCCACAAAGGACATGGACAAGGGAAAAGCTGTGTCCTGTTCCTCACTCATCAACCTACTCAAATTTCCACAGTATCTCCTTCCAGCCACTTTGACTGACTTGTGCCTGCTCGTCTTTAGAGATTTTTATTTGCATTTCAGTTATTTATGACAATTTCAACTACGTTTTCTGTATTTAACTATCTCTAATTGTCTTTGTCAAAGCCTCAGTCAGTAAACTTATTATAGACCTCTTGTCCAAGGGGATACATCCATGAGCTCAGGAGAAGGCAGTTTGACATGTTATTTCTGTACATCTGCACCTGTGTGTTTATATAAAAGTCCACGGCTATTGTGCACACACCTGTGATGAACAAAAAGTGTGAATTGCCCATACATCAGCCATCACGTGTACACACACAGCAAATACAATTTTATGTCATTTTGATGCAGAGACAAAAGCGAGGTTGAACATGCATACACACCCTTTATATATAAAGACAGCATTCTTTTTTATTATTAATTGGGTTAATTTAAGAACAATAAGCACGCGCAAAGGACAGACAGATAAAATGCCCAATGAAATCTGCTTAGTGAGTCTTCTTTCACTTGGACACTTTTAATGCATCTTGGGATTCAGAGAAGAAACCAGACTGACTACTAGAACATGAGATGGAGATAGTGATGCATTCCTTCCATCGGAGCTGAACACAACACAACACACAGACACATTCTGGAGATAAGCAGAGTACCCAGCCACGAGTACAGTGCTATGAAGCTAGTGCTGTTATGCATTCAGCTGTGCACTGTAGATTTGAAATTGTCACAATAAAAGCAATAAAGGCAATGCTTTGGATACAGTTCAGTGAAAAATTATAGCTTGCCACTTTTCACTTTCCTGCTTATTTCTACCAAGTAACAGACCATTGACTAATCTTTAGCTGATGCACGTCCATGGGGAAATGCTGAAATACCCAGTTTACACCAGCTGAGAATTTACATCCTTTGCTTTGCAGCACTCCATACAGTACTTAAATGAACTTGAGTGTGTATAACTGATTAAATGTTGTTACAACCACACAAACAATGCAAGAAATTTTGTTTCTAGCTTTATGAGGGAAGAAAAGACCAACTCCGAGAAATGAGCCAAAAGCATATACATACATTTTCACCTTCACTCTGGGCTTTAATAAGTTATATAAAAAAAAAAGGTATCACAGAGAAAATGGTTAAATGTTATATTCCTAAAGCCTAAGAGTTAAATCCTTCTGAATTATTACTGAAGGCATATTTCAAAGATCCCAGAAAGCAAATTAATTTCCAGAATAAAGTATTTCCCTTTTGCTATTTTCATTATATGATAGTATTTCTTTTTTGCAATATGTAGAGCAAACATTTATTTTTAAATTAGTTGCCAAAAACATCCAGTGTAGTGGCTCTCAACATTAGTTTGGCATCTGTATAAAAGTTCATTAAAATCTTGATGTGCTCTTTCCAATAATTTTAAGCACTATTCTACAAGTCTCTATATTGGCTGGTCTTTCTTCCCTCAGTGTTCATTTACTGATAATCCTTTTACAAGCTGATATTGCGTTTTTCTTCCTAACTCACACTGGTCTTATGACACCCTCCACAATTACCCAGTTTCCATGTTGCCCAAAAACCTGACCACCTACTTTTATCCATATTCTTCCTACCCTACTCTCCAAAATTCTCTCTTTCCACTTTGCTGCCAATGTATTTGGATCCTCCGAGCGTTTGTCCATATTCTTGTTTTAAAAGCAATTTAAATTTTGTTCTTCCTATTTGCTGCTGAACTGGATACTCACATTTCCTCTATTGGACTTGCGGGCTGTTAAGTTCTTAATTGAAGTTGCAAATTTGTCTTTTAATGAGATCACTCTGCCTTTAATTTAATTTAGATGGTTTTAGGACAGCTAAGCAATTGAGGTTTTTTTGTTGCCAAAACAATTATCTTAAGAGAGAAGAAAGAAAAAGCAGAGGGAGAAATAAGGTATTTCTTTGGAGTCACTCTCCCCAACATCAGTATCTCCTCTGCAACAAAACAGCATGCTCTTGTGAATTCTCTGGATTTATTTTTTCTTATACTAGATATAGTCTGGGCAAAGAACTTGGAAGAGACCCCAAAAAATCCCTGTTCCAAGGACAGGAATGCAGAATAATGCACTTTTATTGTTGAAGTGACAGAGTGCTTGTCAAAAATCTGATTAGAAAGTAAAAATATCCACATACCAGTCCATGCCTCTAAGGCTGCAATGTATTTTCTCTGCATTTAAGAACAGATTTCATGTTATTTAAATAAAATTATTTAGCTTCACAGAAGAATACCATCATATGGTGCTTGGGGCCACTTTTTATGTGAAAACAATGGTAACGCTGCCATAGAAAAGCAATACTCTGATAACAAAGTTAAACTCATAGCAGAGAATTTGTAAAAGATAGGGTTTTTTTTTTATTTTCCATATTCACTCATTGACTCAATTTTTATTGTACCCCCTTACCTTAGAATACAGAGGCAGACCTTGCCTCCTGATGTCAAACGGCAGAATCCAAACCTTTGCTTACTTTCAATGTCAGTAAGCACAAAGGTGAAATGCTGTCCTACTTGGTTTTGGGACACCCTGAAAAAACAGATACAGAGGATAAAACCATTAAATCACATAAAACATGAGCATTTAAGTCATTGGTCTCAAGTATTTTCATGCTCAATCCTCACCATAATCCTCAATACAATTCTATTGTCTGCTGTTCTTTTCCAGTTCTCACACAATCTTCTACAGCAGAATACCTAAGAACCTGCTAGTAATGGTTAACATGTGCTATTTCTGGTTCAATCTTAGATGAACACTGAAAATTAACTCCCAGAGAAGCTAAAAATCACCACAGACCCCAGTCTACCAGTCAGAGAACAATTTTTTTTTTTAATTTATCCCTTTCAATATGGGGGCAGAGGGGTTGTTTGTTGAGGTTTTGCTGGTTGGTTTGGGTTTTTTTTAAATTTCCAGCAAAATAAAAGATAGAAAATTCTACCCCTAGGGAAAAAACAAAGTAGCAGTTGATCAAAGGGCAAGAGAAGCTACATAGGACACAGGGATCTTTACTGTTTAACACAGGCAAAACAAAAGTTTAAAGATTAGATGGAGAGTATCTCACTCTTCTCAGTTTAGTTTAGCCCCTCATGATCATAAAGTGACTAGGATGAACCAAAAGCCTGTGCTGAGCATACAACATCAGAAGATACACTTAGTCCAATATAATCACCCATAATTAATGGACTTTTTTCCATTAGGTAATTAATCTCAAATCATTAAAACAAGCACTTTGCTCAGCTGCCTTCAACATGGAACAATCTAGGGCTCTCTTTAAGCACTGTCAGTACTCAGTGGCTTGTGCTCAGTCCCTCCCTGCTCAGGTTCTGGGGAGCTGGGATGTGCACTGGCACCACAGAGCATCATAACCAGGCCCCACTGCTCCCCTGCAGTTTTCCCTGCCACATCTCTGCACTTTGCTCCTTCCTGCAGAGAGCAGCCTGCCATGGAATGCGCTGTGTGGTCTGAGCACCCTGTGCACCGGGGGCTCCCACAGAAACGCAGCAGCAGCCGTGCAGTCAGAGCACTGGACACGCTCTGAGCGGTGACCTCGGCTCCTCTGCTCCCACCGCTCGGAGCCTCCAGCAGCCAGGCCCGGCTTCTCCTCACACCACAAAACCCCTGCCAGGGCCAGGCTGGAGGCTCTGTGCACAGCCACACTAACCCAACCTGGTCTTAATGTACTGTGCACACCTATGCCAGGCAAAATGTCTATACACAGGGCCACTTTAAAAATGAGATTTAAATTCTGGTATTTTCTATTAAAAATATCCCAGCCAAATTCAGCAGGAAGCATTTCCAATGCCATCTCACCAACTCCAAATCACAATCTTCCCTTTGCTTCTTTAAGAGAGATAACTCCATGTTTTGACAGTCAGCATAAAAGTGAGCCAGCTTGAAAACTTCTTCCCACACAGTTTAGAAAGAGATGTGAGCAGCAAGTCACAGATTTTTAATATGAGAAACACTCCAAGGCTAAAACTGAATTTCCACAAGAACCCGAAAGTTTGCATTTTGTCCCATTTGCTTCAAATGAACAGCACAGAAGCCGGTGACCAACCATCCATCTGGAGTACATTTTCTGTTCAGTTTAAAATACTGAATTAATTCTGGGTTTCTAATTTGAGAGCTCCACTTAAGATGTGGGGGCAGCAAGGATGCCTGTTTTTCTACTCCCCTTCAGCAGAATTAAAACTGACTATATGTAAGCCTTACCATGAAAAACAAATGACAATTGGGGATTTCAATTGACAGATGACCACAACATATAAACCAGATACATAAAACATTCCACAAATGCTAGCACTACATTTTTAACACATATATAGCATGTTCCATCATGCAGACAAACACTGGCCAGGTAACTTGGGGTTTGTGCCTCTCTGTTTCACTGCAGCACATTCAGGTTGTTCAGAAATCAAGTCTCCCCTCCAGAAACAGGCAGCAGCTCCTGGCCCTGCTACCTGGACCATATCATTGATGCCTCTCAAGTTTTTCTTAGCATGAAAACCTGCACAGGTAAAATGAAATTATCATATACCAGAATTCCCTTAACAAAATGTTATCCAGACTTTTTACTGGAGCACAAGATAAAGTAGCCCAGCTGCAAAACTTTTTCTGCAGAATGCTGGTCTAGTTGGCTGTTTGAAGAGAGCATGATGTGCTCACTTGCAAGGGGAGAGCAGGCACAAATCGTTCCCAACCAGTGCTGACATTCTCCTCACTCATTCCTCTGCCTTGCTTCTGACTTAGTTTCAACTCTTGCCCTACTTGCTTACTTTTAATGTTAGTTCAATAATAATAAATCACTAATAATGAAGAATGTGTGTAAATACTTATTAACCCTGCAGACTACAATGGGCTCTTTCAATGTTATTACAGTTCGGTATAGAAATAAAAATAGGTTTTAAGTTTTTCTATGTGCCTACACAATGCAGAAAAGGCTCTTTAGTACCCGTGGAGTAGGTAAAGAGTAATTTTAAAAAATTTTGTTTACAATACAGCCACTGCTTAAGTCTCATTTTATGGGAGCCTTAAGAGAGTTAATTAAGGCAGGAATCTAATCTCTCCTTCAAACAAAAAACAGCATATCTAATCACTAAATTTATCCTTTTCTCTCCATAAAAACTGCTCCTCTTCCAAATTATTTTGTCTAGGATAGAGCAGATGTTTGAAATAATTTTTTCTTCAAATTTTAGAAAGTTTTGAAGAGTTTCAAAAAATTTAAAACCTTATAGATGGGAATAGATATTTCTATTTTCTTTTAAAAGTCTTAATGTTATTGTTACTAACAAAATATCATGTACATGTCCTTGACCAATATAATTAATATACAAAGTTCTGACTGAAGCTTTTGTGGCTGCTACTTAAACCTGAAAGTTTCACATGTATTACAACTCCCAAACTGACAGGAAAAACCCCTCAGTTACCAGTCAGTCACCTTAATTTCCCAAATCAAAGAACAGAGTAGAAACTGTTTCAAGCAGGAATTTGAAAACCAGATGCTAAGGTGGTGGTACAAGCTGATGGAGAGACTGGGCATACAGTAACACTAGATTGGGCATTCTCCTTCAGCTAATTGCTATCCCCTAATCTAAGCTTCAGGGGCTATTTTCTTCACTTCCAGGCCCATTCCAGGATCCACAAGTCCACAGCTCAGGTTCCCCATGTGGAGGGCTCCTCTGTTCTAACGAAGCTATATGAATTGAGCTCTGCCTCCCAAAAAAACCCAACCCTTTACAAAAAAAAAGAACAGGAGAAAAACTGCTGAAGATATGAAAATGGACAATGCCACCACCAAGTAAGAAAATTCCCACTAATAAAAAGCACAGTTAGCTTATTAATGGGGTTAACAGAAGCATTAAAAGAAACCACAACTACTGAGTGAAGAGCCTCACTGGGAGTATTTAAGTTGCAACAGAAGCCTGTCTAGAAGCTGTGTCTCAGGACCATCACAGCTGGCCAAGGGTCTGTGTCAGCACACGGTGGCTCCCTCAGCATTCCAGGTTTCCTTTCAGACAGATGCACTTCTGCACACACATGGAAACCAAGCAACCCCTGTGTGAAATCAATAGTTACGCTCCTCACAGGACACACTGCAGCCTGTCCTTACTTGTCTCTCACACACACATTCACTGTTACACAAACATGTGCCATAATACAGTGAGACACAAGATGCAAAGAATTCAATTGTGTGTAACTGCTGCTACATTTGTGAGTTTGCAAGTCCCCTTGCAAACTGATTGCAGTCCCTGAAGGGTATAGCAAATGCTACAGTTTACTTATTTTCACCCATATTGACTGAAATACTTTCTTGGTTATTTACCTTCCATTCTCAACTATTTACTCTGAAGGAAAAAATTTTGTGTAAGTTATCTTATAATTGCCTTTTACAAGATCTGCAAATCCAATGATTTCAAGGCATGGTTTTGCACTTCACTTGATCATAGCTGTGCTTCTGCACAGACTTTTACCACAAATATCAACAGAAACAGCATTAGCCAGGAACAGGAGAGTGACAGTAATGTCATTCCTGCTATCATTACTCACTCACCCTAAAAGATTAGGAGTTAAATAACCTGCACAGTAATTCCCATACTAGAGTGACATTCTTCTGCTAAGGAGAAATCCTCTACAGCAGCAGCACCACTGATTATCCTCCAAAATCCAGCACTTCCCAGTGACTGGGTGAGCACCATGGGGAAATTAATATGGTACACATCATTGTCTCCATGCTGATCCCACAAGCAGTTCCCAAAGGAGTATCTAAAAGAGGCTTGTGTGCTTCACATTCAGCAGGAGAAATGCATCCTGAAAGGGAAAAGACTGAAGAATGAAAGGAGTAAGAGAAGTACTTATGGTGGAGAGAAATGGCAGCGGCTCAAAGCACAGATAAAAATGAGGGGCCAAGCAGTGACGTAGCACAACTTCAGACTGAACCCAAAATGGCTCCAAAAGGAACAAGAGAAGTTGCATCCTCACTAGTCATCACCCAGCTACATAAATGATGGATGTGGAGATTGGGGCATGGACTCTGCAAAGTCACACCTGAGCTCTGGGTTGAGAGGGAAAATACAAAGAGAAAGAAAAGTGAAGCAAACCATGCACAGAGGATTCAAGCAACAAGAAAGAACAAATGTCTGAAGTATTAATATTACTTTAGCAAACATTAAAAGGAAATTAAAATCTGTCTTCAAATGTTAAATCCTCCTAGACCATACAAAAAGAAACAAATGGAGTACCAAAGAAAAAGGTCTTTCTTTGTAAATACATACATGCAAACTGCTAGAATATTATACAGTTGTGCCATTATTAAATAGAAATTAATTTATTCACAAAAAGAGACATAGGTTCTTGAAGCAAATGTTCAAGAACTTCTATCTTGCAATTAATTTCTTAATCCCTTTAAAATAAAATGTAAGCCATAACTACAAGTAATGAAATTATGTGTTTGTTTTCAATAAATATATATATATATATATAAAGCTCAAAGTTTAAGTCGTGGCCAAAGAATTTTTTTACACCATTGTGGCTCTTTTAGTTTGACTTTCAGTTTCAATTTAATGGGAGTCCTCTAGAATTTTAATTACCATTCACAGTATGTACTTTTGATAATTAGTGTGAGTAGTGTACAGTTATTTATAGTATCTGCATAAAGTATGCCCGGTGAGATGATGCAAGCAGCATCAAACAGTGAGAACTAAATCTGGATCTCTATGATTATTGCAGGATAGTGGATAAATGAAAATCAAATAGATTATCTCCTTTCTTTTTTCAATTCCTTAAGTAATTAATATCGGTGACTTGGAAGAAAATGGGTGACAGTGATCTTACTGCTGGTGCTTTAACTTTCCTTTCTCCATAATTTGAAGAACATAGATTTCCTACTTTATTAAGTTTTATTTAACTAGATAACAGAATTAACACTCCATTATCTGTAACTCTGCTGTGTAGTAGAAAACCAGAGCTATCTATAGAATAGTTACATCTTTTAAGTATCAGAATCAGTGGAAGTTACTACTTTTGTACTAGTAATTTCTAGCTCTTAATAGGGTCAGACAATGCTTGAAGTATTTTATACACATTAATATACATTAAATACATATATGTCTATAAATATACATATATTACAGGTTGAGGAGCTATGCTCTCTGCAGCACAATATGCTCAATGAATGAAACAGATATTTTGTATTTCAGTTCAAGTGTTTCTGTACAGAAATTGGCATTGAAACTGCCTGTACAATGTTTGGGAGTATTAGGTGATCCTATATACAAGAGGAAAACTATATATACACGTATGCATATATTCATCAGACAAGGGAAAGTTTATGGCCAGACAAACACTAAAAGGATTATAATATCAAATCTCCAGTGGAAAAAAGCCCTATAAATAGGAACTTCAGCAGTGTTTTTCTCAATCCTTTATCATTCCAAAAATCAAAATAAAAATCATTAAACTGAGAAAGCAGAAGACAACTAGTTCAGTTTAAAACAATTGGTGTGTCCACACTATAGAAAACGCTTGAGCTGAGTAGGAAATGGTAAACACATCATACAGCCAGTAAGCTGTCCACACAAACAACCCCAGTGACAGTCCCCACTCCTGAATGAGCTTCCAGCATATCTATGATTTGCTCCACACCAGATCTGCCCCTCCTCCTCCGTGCTGCCACACTCCCATGATCCTGCCTTGCCTTTGGTTCCCCAAAATCGCTCAGCACTCGGCTCCAGCTCCGCAGGCAGCTGCGAGTGCGGCGCCCGTTCCAAAGCACCACGGCACTGCCTGAGCAGCCGGCAGGCCAGACCGAGCAGCCTCATTGCTCCCACAGAACCCCAGCTTCCAGGAACCTCCACTCCTGCCTGCTGACAAGTTTTAGGAAATTCGTAGAAATTTTGCACTTTGAGAACACTGCTTTACAGTCAAGCATGAGGCCAGCAGTCAAAAAGCATCCCTGGGGAGAGGGCACGGGAGATGTTAATAAACAAACAACAAACTTCCTTTTACTTTTTCCTTTCTGTTCCATTTTCTTTGTTTTTTACTCCTACAGATAATTGGCTAAAATACATACTTAGCTATGTTAGAAATTCAAGTATTCCCACAGTTCATTAAGTTCATTCTCTTCATACAAGGAGCTAAGTGTCTTCTAATGGTTCGAGATAAACAGTTAAGACAACTTATTTGAAAATAATTCACTGCCACTGATTATCTTCTTGCCACTGGATGGCAGCAACAGAACCTCACCTTTTTCTGTTATCCTCAAATTTTATTTCCATTTTTCATCTTCAGTACCAATTTTAAACAGAATCCTTTACATGTCTTAAGCACATTAAAGACTTTAATTCTTTAAAGCCAACCAGTGACAACCATATTAGTTAAGTCATTAAAGCAGCTGCAAGGACAGTGAGTGTAACCAGTTCAAAACCCAAACAACTTAATTAAATTCAGCCATAAAAGACTAAATAACCCTAGTTTACTTCAGGGAAGTTGTGTTTATAAAGATCTTTATTTTGCTAGTGTGTTTTGCTGCAAAGACACTTTTCTCTCCTCTCCTCTCTCCACACACCAGCTTTTCCTCTACTGACAGCAGCTTCTTGCATCTGATAGATGCTTCTCATCTTCAACTCACCATCTACAACTGATGCCCAAGTTGTTCTGAAATTGGCTCAGCCTGCACATTACCTGGATGTATCTTTCATTAATTATGCAAATCAAGCTTTTAATTCAATCTTTGCCAATTCAGACACTACGGGTTTCCCAAACTGAATGAGTTCAATCTATTAAATAAATTACCATTAATCATGTTGATAAGCCCAAATAAATATTTTCATTAATAAAAACATTTAAATTACTGGTAGCATTATATGGAAGCCAGATTATAACTGATATCAGAAAGGTAAGGACAAATTAATTATAAATAATGGTCTGGATTCTTCTCTGAGAAAAATCAATTGCATATTCAGCTACTTCCATGTAATTAAAGTCTTAATTTCTTTGAACTCAAACAACACATTTTCTGTAGTGCTCAGTGAGTTTTTATATCCTGGTGCACTGTAACATTTTTAATGAAGCTCGCTGCTTAAAGCAAACTGTGTTATATCCTTATACTAACACAGATGGTACTCACAATTACAGTGTACAAAACTGGGAGCTGGAATGTAGCTCTACCTGGACAGAGATATTCTTAAAATTCTGTAAAGATTACATTTTGCTGTGATAGTTTCCTACTAGTGACTGCATACTTACTTGAACAAAGGGTACATTTTCTCATCTGCAGGTGCAAGTTTAGGGAATACATTACATTTGCCTTTTCATTAAATCCTTGCTTGTAATCATGCTAAAAATAATTTTCTATTAATTTTTTAAAATAAATGATAACTGTAGCACATACCTTTCAACGTCAAAAGGAAAGCAGAACTTTGGAACGCTGTTCAGCACTTCCTGAAAATGCAAGCAGAAAAAAAATGAAGTTAGGGGTTTTTTGAAAAGGCTTTTGAAAGGTTTACTTCTTAAAAAATGGCCAAAAATACTCATAACAAATAATAAGTTCAAGGAATATATGATTACAAAAAATACAGCACACGTTCCTGGACTGAAATAATTGATTATTAAAAAGGAATTAGGTTTGTGCTTTGGCAGATTGCAAAGACAATGCCATAGAAGCCCCAGGAGGGAAAGGCCTGGCCTGAAGGGTATTAACACCCTTCACATCCCCGCTGGGATTCCCTTCAACAAGGCCATATGGATTTTACAAGAAGCACCACACCATATGGGTAAGCCACGTCTGCTGCTACTTGTACCACAGACTAGCCACAGGGACTTCTGACAGATTCTGGCTCAAAAATACAAATGTTGTTTCAATTAAAATGCAGGCAGAGAAAAGGGAATGAAGTTGGCAGCAGAATGAATTACAGAGAGGTATAACAACTCTATACATGTTCCATAGTCAAATGCTGAAAGTGATGGAAATCGCCTACTGGTCCAAAGCAGAAATTTATATGATTAACCCTTTGGGTCTCACAAGCAAGCTTTGCTATCAATAAAGGAAAGGGGTAGGGGGGGGAGCAAAATCCACCAGATCTACATTCATACCACAGTATGAAAGGATAACGTCTCTCTTTCGTGCAGAATTTTATTTAAGAAGCTGTTTAGTGGCAAATAAAATGTGTTAATTAAAATATAAAAATGCTCTCAAACCAGTCAACGTTTTTCTTAAAAAAAAAAAAAAAAAAAAAAAAANAAAAGTGAATTACCAGATCATTTAGCAGCAAATATTAAACAACGACTTTACAAGATCCTAGAAAATAGGCTTTATTTCCTTGCTCCCAACAGGGAAAACAAACCCCCTGAGAAATGCTTCAGCAAGAAGAGACAGTTGACATCCATGTAGTTGGTCAAAGCTGCAGAATTCCTTTTCTGTAGCAGCCCAACAGACCTGTATTTCTGTATACAAGAGCTGGCCTCCAAGGTTTGTTTTCAGAAAAGAGCACATTGATTATGAATTTCCAGGGCTGCACATGAGGGTTTAAGAAGCTGATTTAAGGTGTTAGCACTGCAGCCTGAACACCCTGTTTACTGCATGTTGGACAGTCAATTCCCATTAGGGGAAATTGTTTATTTAAATTCCTACACACTACAATGACTACCTACTTCAAACATTCACCAGGCTCAGTGGATAGTGTAAAATACAAAGAGGCCATGCAAGTTAATCAGCAAGAGAGGAACAGTTCAGGAAAAAGACATCTGTGACTGCAACATGCATATGTTAGCTGCAACATTTTAAGGGTATATGATGTGCCTCAGTAAATCTTCATGTGATACTAAATCAGGAAGTCAACGTTTTTAGAATTTCCAAGTCATACAAAATACTTCAAGAAATCTTTAGATCCTTTACTTAGCACAGTGTATGAAAGCCACATAGGTGTTTTAGGAAAGGTTATTAACTCCATTAAAAACAAGAGCAGTACATAGAATACTCTTCAAAAGGAACTGCTCAACGACCATCCTACCTGCTCTGAGTGCCCACTGCCGAAGAGTGAGAAACAAAATATAAACAGGGCATATAAACAGGTAAGCATTTGATTTCTACAGTCAGGAACAAGCACACACAATACCAGTAGTAACAATAATAAACTCTAACAAAAAAGAGCAAGGGGAACAGGCTAATCAAAACTTCTAACTCAGAAATTTTCTAAACATTTCCAAATAGTCTCTCACTTCAGGCTCATAAAACTTGTTTTTCCTATTCCAAAGAAATAGTATTTTATTCTTTTTCTAAATCTGCACCTATTTTCACACTATAGGAAGTAATTTTTCTCCTCACTAACAAGGATTTTAATTGCTGCCTGGTGAGCTTAGCACTGACTCAGAATTGGGTATGGAAATGTATTCATTTATGTTCCCCATTGTATTCTCTCAGAATAAATTATCACGAGAGGAAAAGAAAACAAAAACAAAAAAACCGAAGGTATTAGCTCAATATTTTGACTAAACAAGCTGAAAATTAGGGGTGTGTTTTGCAGCGCTGCCCGGGCCCAGCGACAGGCCAGGGCTCCCCCGGCGCCGGCCGGCCTCCCCAGGCGGCCACGTGCGCACAACTTCTGCGGAGCTCCGCCGCTTCCCAACTGGCAGCAGCATCCCTCGGGGGACCAGCCTTTAAACCTCCGCACTCTTTAAAATTCAGCCAGCCAGCAGGTCTATAGACTGGTGTATAAACAGTATAGACACACACACACACAAAAAAATCCTCTCTCAGCTTATGTCAGTGACAAAGCAGCTCAGCAGTTGACTGCTTCTCCCCTGACAGCGTAAGCCGGGTTTACACAGATCAATAGATGGAAGTCCTACCTAGCTTCCAGGGCTCCGTTTTCTCCCTTAATTACAGGTGCTATTCAGATTTTTAAAATGGAAGAAAAGATGCCCTCAAGATGCTTCTAGATGAATTTAAAATGCAAATGATATTAAATAGACATTCACATTTGCGTACACATTTGTGTACAATTACAGCTGGTACTTACAGTAATCTCTCCATTAGATAAAACTGGAGCTCTGTCTCCTAACGGGTCATCATTTTCAAGGCTCCCTAACCAGCCAGGACTTCCTCCTGAGTCAATATTTACACTCTCAGAAAAAAAATAACATTATTTGTTGTCTTTTATATTCACAACTTGATAAAAGTATGCATTTAGATCTGGACGCAAAAGGTTGTACCGGTCTTCAGAAAGCAAAATAGTTCAATTCACATGTCCCAAGATTATTTCCTCCTCTAGCTCTCACAGTATTAGAGCTTTCAGAAATGGTCCTTGTCATGAACAAGGTGTATACAGGGGAAGGTGATAATGATGTAAAAAAAAAAAAAAAAACAAAAAACCACACAAGTAAAGGATTATCTCTTTGCTTTTAAACACTGACTAAACATCTACAGGTGCATACAAAATTGTGTTTAATTGCCAAGTTAAAGGATACTATCTCATTCCTCATGCAAACTCAAAGAGAAAGAAGAAAACCATTAAAATAACATCATGTGAACTGTGACATGCTGCTTCTCTTGAAAAAGAGCTTAAACAAAGACAGAAATGGTATTTACAAAAAAATTCCCTTGTACCTACAGCACAGCAGCAGAACACTGCACTCTTACAGGCTCATGGTGCAATGGTTTATTAATTCACTCTCATCAGTTGCACTGTCCAACTCCCGCCTAGCCTGGTCACGCTCACTGGTTCTACAATGGGAGGATATTACAAAGCCTGAAAGGTAAGAATTATTTAGTGTTCCTTGCTCATTTTGGTACCCACTCAGCTAATTCTCTGTGTTACCATTTTATAAAGCAATGTAAACAGTGGTAGAAAATGCTTCTGAATTCACACATGCCAGCTTTGTTGGGGGGGAAAAGGTCCTGATAACCTCACAGTCTGGAAAGAAACACAGTCAGTAATTAACTGACCAGTTAAAGCAGTTTTGCCTTCAGATATTTCATATTTTCTTCTAGGCCTAAGACAAACTATGAAGAATTCCCTGAAACTGTTTTACATAAAAATTAATACCTAATAGCAACTACTAATTGACTTGCTGGTCATGTCCACGGAGCAGTCCCACAAAAATCCTGTGCACATCTCACCTTTTCATTTGCAGTGTGACACCACAGGATGGGTGTAACACAACTGTGTGACGTGGGACTCTCAGTGCCGTGTGGGTGGCGAAACACAGAGCTGTAGATGTGCCCTCTAAGCTCCACCTGCTGCAACACTTCTATTCACAGAAGATAGATAAGAAAATTTTGCAATCGCAGCTCCCTAAAAATAGACCTGTTCTTTCCAGCTAATGATTTTCAGACTAACTTGCAGACAGTGCTGTGGTTTTTGACAGCTCTTTCTATGTCAATACAGCTGCCACGTAACACTTCATACATCCCTGACAAACATGCAAAGAGGAAGGAGATTCTGGACCACGTAGCAGTAGTTGCTAATGGATTCAAGCAAGATTAAAATTCCGTTAAACTGAGCTACGTGTACATTTCTATAACCACAGATTGTTTTGACCCACAGAACAAATTCCACGCCACTGTTGAGAACAGTTTTTGATCCTCATTTAGTTGGCTAACATGTAAACCACAACTGGAAAGGCCCTACAGCCTAATGACTGAGATTCAGAGAAATTGGGTTGCTCATAACACTTAAGGACGGAGCCCTTTAGAGTACTTGCTCTCTAAAAGGTGTTTGAACCTTTCAAAAGCTTATTCAGAGAAACACTCGTTGTCTAAAATGATAAAGGAGCTGAATACCTGCAAAGGAGGATGAGATCACTTACAGCTAGATATAATTTCTCTTGTTCCTGCTTCCTGTCTCCTCCACCTGGCCACCACTCAGTTACATGCCTCAGGAAAAGAAGCCAGACAGGCAGCTGAAGATTTTTAGTAGCTTCATCTGGTGGCTTTGTGTTCTACACAGCAACAAGGGCACAGGTAAGGGCACAGAGAGATGAGGCAGCAGGACAGGAATACTTTAGACAACAAGGTAATGGGATGAGCTTGAGATCCTAGAGAAGCAAAATCACATCAGTAACTCTCACAGAGGTGGCTGCGGAGGCCCAAAGGTCAGCTGTACCTGTGACTGAACTTGGAGGTGATTCCTGCAGCACCACTTAGAACCAACAGCATGCTAAATACACAAAAAAAGGAATGAAAATCACCTCAGGGACTGGAAGAGTGAAGGACCAGAGTGTGGTGCATTCCAGCTGGAGATATGTTACAGGATGCTCTTGCCCTGTAGAGCATACTATGGCTGCTGTCCCAGGCAGCACACTTTTTACTGCTCTCACAGCAGCTTTCAAAGGCACTTCACAAAAAGGAAATCTAATCCTGCATGATTAATCTCACTGTCCTACAAGACTGAGGCATAAGACTTTCTAAACTACCACAGAGCAAGTTTTAAAATTCAGAGATT